TGTTCAAAATAAAAAGTCTTTCTTTGGTACCAGTTTCATAACCATTTCCCCATTTTCCTCCGCCAACTCATATTCCATATCCCTTCGGACGTCCTCACCGTGTTGTACGTATTCTTGTGGTTGTACGTATTCCTGCGCGTCTACATACACCTCCTCCTCTTCTTGAACCATAGCTACCTCTATGTTCCTACTGTCCTCCCATAGCGGCGGTAAACATTTCCCTGGGTTTACATAGTTTAAATTTATGGTGATTTTAGACTGTAGTAATGGCAGGATGAGGATGGCATGACGTGATGAAAAATGATGAAAGTTCATTAAATGCTCCTTGACATGGTGCCTGCGTGGAAATGAGTCATTACAACCAACACAACTAAATTCCTTTATATCGCGAACATGTTTGCTATGCCAGTGTCTCTGGTATTGACGGAATCCATTAAATGGACCCCGTCCACATGTTCCTACTGGACAATTATATCCCTTTTTAAACACAGGTCTTTCTTCTGCCATACTGTAATATAATACATATTATAAATAATTTGTTAAGATAAATGAACAGTTAATATATAAGGTACTCATGTACACACATAAGAGTAATAATGCTACATTGTCAACAAACATACATTATGTAAATAGTAAATGAATAAAACAAATGTGTGACAGCCTTTTTCTTAGGTATAATATGTGAAACTTTAAAAATCCATACGCACAATTTCCTATCAACGTTTGATAAACTCTTTAAATGAGTAACTGGAAAAATGTGACTATTATGTGAAAACAATATGAACTCTTCTGTTATTTAATAAATAAAAACAGCCTTTTTAATAGGTCTACGAAGCGAACATATAAAAATACATTACATATATTTTATGATATAACTTAAGCATGTTAAGTCTCAACATATATGTCAATACATTGCTCTATCCTTCACTAATGCTTGTATAACAACATAAATTAAAATCTGCTATGCATAAATTACACCCTTATAAAAACATATCAAATATTCTTATTTTTATTCTAATCCTCAAACTAAATTCAGATATGAAAAGTACATACCATATTCCATCTGCTTACCATTCTCAGTATTATTACTTTTACCGCACCAATATAATTTAAAAATATGCAAACTTGAATTTTTCAACTTTTCTTTTTTTTTTTAAAACTAAGTACTGATTTCAGTACAAATATTATAAGCAAAAAAATTTAAAACTATATACACGGTGAATACTTTGTTGGCTTTTTCACTGTTCTTCCACATCTGGTTCTTTGTGGGCTAGGGGTACAGGGGGTTACATCCATATTAAGGGGAATATCATTTTCAGTTTCATCAAATGACAAGTGAAAATCAAACGACGGGGGTTCTATATCGGACTCATCAGACTGGATTTCATCCTCTATTTCAGGTGGTAACCATGTGACAGGGACATTCCCAAAATGGGGTTTTAGATGATCCACATGAACTACTATGTCCTTTGCAGTAGGGGTTTCTTGAATTCTGTAAGTCACATCAGAAAGTTTGGCTTTTACTTTATATGGACCTCTCCAACCTAACCCTAATTTAATTCCTGCAGTAGGGGGATACCATCTATAGACAAAATCATTCACTTCATATTGACGAGGTTTAAGTCCCCTATCATAACTTTTCTTTTGCCTAGTAGCGGCCTTTGAAAACTTATCCCTAGCAAAATTAAATGTTTTCCTGAAAGAATAATTCAGCCACTGTACATATTCTACTGCGCATGGGGTATGTACAGTTGAAGGGTTTCCAGCCATAATATCTAACGGATAAACCATTTCCCTACCAGTCAACATTTTATGGGGGCTAACACCAGTTGAATCATTTACCGTGGCCCTGTAAGCCATTAGCAAGTAAGGCAATAAATCATCCCAATTATTTCTGAATTTATTGACAAACATGGACAACATTTTCTGTAAAGTTCTGTTGAAACGTTCAACAAGACCATCACTCTGTGGCCGATAGGGTGTTGTTCTAGTTTTATCGATTCCCAACTTATCACAAACTGCTTGAAATAGAATGGATTCAAATTCCCTGCCCTGATCACTGTGTATTTGTAGGGGCATTCCAAAGCGACAAAATATTTCAGAAACTAGTTTATCTGCTACTGTAAAAGGATTATGGTTCTTAACTGCAAAAGCCTCAGTCCATTTTGTAAAGTAGTCTTGTACTACAATTAAATACTCATTCTCATTTTCAGTAATGGGACATGGGCCTACAATGTCAACCCCAATCCTATCGAATGGACAACCCACTAAAGACTGTTGTAAAGGAAATCTACCTATACCTGGGCCAGGTTTAGCTTTAGCACAAACAATGCACTATCGAACCCATGAACTTATATCAGAAGTCATTCCAGGCCAATAAAACCTATTTTTAATTGCTCTAATTGTTCGATCTCTACCTAAGTGACCAGATATTACTGAATTATGAAATTCTTTCATAATTTGATTCCTAATTTCTGCTGGGGCTACCAAAACAAGATTTTCATCATTATCCGTTTCAATCCTATAATACAGTAAGCCATTTTCTATTGACAAAGACTCCCATACACTCCATAAATTTCTAATTCCGTATGAACAACCGGAAACTACTTCCTTGTCAGGTTTTTCATCAAACTCTCCTAACATATTTACAATTTTTGAAATATCAGGGTCATTATCCTGCCAAGAGACTTTCTCTTCACTTGTCCAAACTCTTAACCAATTCGAAATTTGGGGCAAATCAAATTCACCTTCGTTATCACTATCATCTTCAACATAGGGAATTGTTTCATCTAAATCACTATTTCCAGGCCTAATGGGTGCTAGAAGACATTTATCGGGGTTATCACAACTCTGACCTACTTGATTCTTATCACACGCAGGACAATCAGAGCGTTTACACAACCTATACGGTTTTCTGGACAAAACATCAGCATTCGTATGCTAAGTACCTTTTCGATATTCAATCTCATAATCATAGGTATCCAAGACAGAAATCCACCTAGCAACCATACCTTCTGGGTGTTTAAAATTCTTCAACCAAATTAAAGATGCATGATCTGTGCGAATCCTAAATTTTTGACCTAACAGGTAGTGGCGAAAATATTTGACAAAGGTAATTACCGCTAAAAGTTCCCGGTACGTAGTACAATATTTTTGTTGGGTATCACTCAACATTCGACTAGCATAGGCAATAACCTTTTCCTCACCATCCTGTACCTGTGAAAGGACAGCACCTATTGCATGACCACTAGCATCCGTATCCAGAATAAATTCACCATCCCCTATAGGATAACTTAAAATGGGAGCAGAAATAAGTTTCTCTTTCAAAACTTCAAAAGCATTTTGACAATCTTGATCCCACAAAAATTTCAAGCCCTTTTTCGTCAAATTTGTCATTGGCGATGCTTTTTCTGAAAAACTAGGGATAAACCTCCTATAATACCCTGCCAAGCCGAGAAAACTGCGGACTTCATTTACATTTTTAGGGACTGGCCAATCACTAACACTTTCAATTTTTGCTGGGTCACAAGCTATTCCCTTATCACTAACTAAATGTCCTAAATATAACACCTGGTGTTGAAAAAGAAAGCATTTCTTAGGTTTAAGCTTAAGATTAGCCTTTCTAAATCTGTCAAAAACAAGGTCTAAATTCTCTAGAGCCTTCTCAAAAGTAGGGCAAAAAATAATGACATCATCTAGGTAACACATACACCTTTCCCATTGATAACCCTTTAGAACAATGTCCATCAACCTTTCAAAACAACTGGGCGCATTACACAACCCAAATGGCATCACTTTGAACTGAAATAACCCCTTGTGGCAAGAAAAGGCAGTTTTAGGCCTATCTTTTTCATCAATAAGTACCTGCCAATAACCGGAAGCTAAATCGATAGTGCTAAACCACGAATCCTTTAAAGTATGTAAGTTCAAAACCCTGTAATCAATACAGAAGCGCCATGTTGAGTCTTTCTTTAAGCAAAGTGTGACTGGGGCACTCCAAGGACTACAACTTGGTTCAATTACATCATTTTGTAACATTTTCTCTAACTCTTGTTCAATTATTTCCCTTTGTTTAATGGGTACCCTCCTGGGAGGTATCTTAACAGGCTTTGTGTTCCCAGTATCTATTGTATGCCTGACAATATCTGTTTTTCCAAGTTTTCCGTCGGGACCCAAACAAATATCCTGATATTTTATCACCAGTTTACTTAAATCCTGTTTTTGACTCTCAGTCATTTTTGAAGAAACCCTATCAATCAGACCTGTTAAATGTTCTGGAAGTTCATATAAATTGTTTAACTCATTTGCACTAACTGAATCAGAAATTGTTTTAACTGTTTGTATACTACCAAAAACTTTATTTCTTTTTAAAGTTACATCTCGATCCCTACAATTTATTGCAGAAATGGCAACCTTACGTTTAGTTGTATTTACTAAAGCAGTAGAAATCAAAATTCCATTTCTAATTAATCTTGCATTTGGTTCGACAAGCATGTCTTCTTCCTTAATGTTTTTAGGAACTTTAATTTGAAATACTGACTCAGTATTAGCTGGTAAAACAAGTCTATCTGAGAGTCTAATTAAGGCACAATGTTTATTTTGTTGCTTATGAAGCTTTATGGTACTATCATCTGGCTTGATCAATAAAGACTTAGAAATGTTTATTTGAGCTTCATTGGCTTCTAAAAAATCTATGCCTAATATTCCCTCAAGATCATCTAGTTCAGCTATGACAAAGTCATGTGTAAAAGGAATGCCTTGAATAAAGAACTCTAAGGTAACTTGTCCATGTACTTTTAACTCTTGGCCTCCTGCCGTAGTTAACGAAGTTAAAATATCTTGAACTTTCAGTTCATCAATGTTAAATTCATCAAGCTTTGCTTTAGAGACACAACTAACAACTGCGCCTGTGTCTAAAAGAAAACTACCCTTATTTAATCCTACTTCCACAGAAGCAAATAGACCATTTTGTTTAATAGGGTTTACTTTTATACTGGGCCTTATTTCTGTTCCGCAGCCTGGGTTTCTGACCCTGAACTCAGGCTTCCCTTGTTTAAATCTTGATTTGGATTGTTTTGTCTCTTATTTGACCTTGGAGCCTTACAATCTTTGCTAACATGTCCTACTTTTTGACAATTATAACAAGTTGGAACCCTACAATCCTTAACTACGTGACCTAACCTATTACATTTAGTACATTGTAGGGGAATAGTTTTATTTATCTCCTCAATTTTTTTGGATAACTGTTCAAAACAATTCATAATAGTTCGGGTAACTTCAGACAGATCTGACTGAGCTTTAACATTCTCAGTGTTTCCCTTATCATTCTTATCTGACCGTTTTACAGCTTGTATAGTAGCTGCATGTTCTTCAGTCTGTTCTTTTGGTTTACGGACTTCAGTTGACATAGAACCAACAAACGCTTCATACTCAATGGCTAATGCGATCGCGCTTTCTAAAGTAGTAGGATGTGAGAACTGGACGCGTTTCTGAACGTCAAAATTTCCTAATCCTCGTATAAATTGGTCAATGGCTAAGTCTTCAGTTTTTTCCAAATCTGGATAGGCTAAACGTACAAGCCTTCGAAGAGCGTAACCGTAGTCTTGAATCGACTCGCTTTTTCTACGTATCCTACTATTAAACTCGCATCTATAAGCGGTTATTCTTTCCTTCGGAGCAAGACGTCTGCTCAACATATCTTTGAGTGAAGTATAATCTGCCAATACGTTTGACTTTGCATCTCCGAGTAACTTCTGTGCGGTGCCACGTAAACACATACACAATTGTTGTGCTTTCGACTCGTCATCCCAATCATTCCATTGAGCAGTTTGTTCAAAGTGAACTATATAGTCTTGCCAATCAACGCTTTTACCATCGAACTTATCCGGTTCTCTTTCTCTCCGTAATATACGCGGTTTAGGATGATTAAAGCTAACATGCCTCAGTGCAGGCGGCTGTACATTGGTTTGTACAAGATTTGTACTGGCCATATTACTTGGTACAGATTTAGGTGTAACTAATAATGGAGCTCGAGACGGCACGCTAGTCCCTACTGAAGAGGTTTTTCTGATTTGAGGGGTGACTTCACAGTTGTTTTGATCAACAAATCCATCACTCGGTACCTCGTTGGTTTGTCGGCTTATGTAATACAAGCCTTCGCGACTTTGGTATGAGGAAGACTCCTCATCACCATCGTATCTCGGACGGGACCTCTTAAAATCAGTTTCAGACGCTCTGGTCGATTCGGCTCTCTGTTCTTCATTTCCATAATTTATAGGACGTGGTAAACCCAAAGGGCTAATCAAAGACAGATCTGATCTGGAGTTTTGTTCCCTACTTTGTGAAATATCTACTCCTAAGTTTTCAATTTGAACTTGTAATTGACCTATCATTTGTTGACATTGGTCTCTAAATTCACTTATATTTGCCATTATATTCTTATATTTATAAATCCTATTTATAAAGTCTTAATAAGTTCTTTATTTAAACAAAATAATTAATTAATCACCAGTTTAAAGAGGGGCCAAAATTTTTACAGCAGGATCCCACCGCTGCCACCAAAATGTAACCGGAGCTAGATATCCTGTCTTGTTTTTTCATGTAATTTCTGAATTGTTTATTTGTAAATGTTGATGTCTTGTTTTAGTACGGTATGATTGTTCAAGGAGATCAACCTAAATAATATATTGGAAGATTCAAACCACCAAAAACCAAAAAGGAACAATCAGAATTATTGACAATGACTAAAACAACCAAAATAATATGAACGGTGTCATGTTAATGACTAAACCTTTAAAACAGGGTATATCTAAGCTCTAGGTTCTGTTGTAGTTCGATCCTGAGTCTTTGACTCCTCTTGGTAGCTTATTTAAATAAAGACAATCAAGTTCACATAGTTTAATGATGTTATAACGACAAATCTACATGTCAGAATTTAATATAAATATACATCAAATCAACAATTCACCTATAAAGCACAGTGTAATGAAAATTGGGCAAAGTTATCTCCCCTTTTCTAAAATAATATTGAAAAACCTTAATTTCCTACTTACTTAACACTAGTTACCTAAACTTGTTTTATAAAATGAACAGGCTACTTAATTAAATTTGGGAAGGGAAAAACCAGACGTGGAAGCTTAACAGTTTGAAAAGTTTTGCCAAAGTTTTGTCTTACAACAAGCCAAAATTGTAAGTCGTAACTAATGCATCAGCCAAGTTGCTAATAGTCAAAGACTAACGCTGGCTAGTAGAAAACAGTCCTAATTTAATAGGCACCTACCTTAAGAGTCTGTTACAGACAAGTGGCTCTTGCATAAAAAGCAATGATATTAAGAATATGTGGGCCTTATATACTAATTAAGTTCTAATTATAGAAACTATATCTAAATTTATAAACCCAATAAGAAATATCAACACATAAGTTAAACCAATGAAATTTACTATTAAAAACTTGTTATGCCTCGATTTAGAAAAACACACAGAGAAAGATCTCCGAACGCACCCAATTGAAAAATCTAGAGAGATAATAATTTTCGGAACTCCTCTAATAAAAAGCATGGCTAAATTCAAGGAAAATATAACAGTTTGGGATTTAAAAGTTACTTAATGACAAACTTATAAGGTAACATCAATATTTAAAGTTCAAAGAACGTTTCCCAAGTGTAAATTCTATATTTTTAATTTAACCAGGTTGAAAGTCCCATGACATTGCACAATTTACGTTTTAAAACAAGGCTCCACGGCCACATATTTAATAAATAAAAACAGCCTTTTTAATAGGTCTACGAAGCGAACATATAAAAATACATTACATATATTTTATGATATAACTTAAGCATGTTAAGTCTCAACATATATGTCAATACATTGCTCTATCCTTCACTAATGCTTGTATAACAACATAAATTAAAATCTGCTATGCATAAATTACACCCTTATAAAAACATATCAAATATTCTTATTTTTATTCTAATCCTCAAACTAAATTCAGATATGAAAAGTACATACCTTATTCCATCTGCTTACCATTCTCAGTATTATTACTTTTACCGCACCAATATAATTTAAAAATATGCAAACTTGAATTTTCAACTTTTCTTTTTTTTTTTAAAACTAAGTACTGATTTCAGTACAAATATTATAAGCAAAAAAAATTAAAACTATATACACAGTGAATACTTTGTTGGCTTTTTCACTGTTCTTCCACATCTGGTTCTTTGTGGGCTAGGGGTACAGGGGGTTACATCCATATTAAGGGGAATATCATTTTCAGTTTCATCAAATGACAAGTGAAAATCAAACGACGGGGGTTCTATATCGGACTCATCAGACTGGATTTCATCCTCTATTTCAGGTGGTAACCATGTGACAGGGACATTCCCAAAATGGGGTTTTAGATGATCCACATGAACTACTATGTCCTTTGCAGTAGGGGTTTCTTGAATTCTGTAAGTCACATCAGAAAGTTTGGCTTTTACTTTATATGGACCTCTCCAACCTAACTCTAATTTAATTCCTGCAGTAGGGGGATACCATCTATAGACAAAATCAGTCACTTCATATTGACGAGGTTTAAGTCCCCTATCATAACTTTTCTTTTGCCTAGTAGCGGCCTTTGACAACTTATCCCTAGCAAAATTAAATGTTTTCCTGAAAGAATAATTCAGCCACTGTACATATTCTACTGGGCATGGGGTATGTACAGTTGAAGGGTTTCCAGCCATAATATCTAACGGATAAACCATTTCCCTACCAGTCAACATTTTATGGGGGCTAACACCAGTTGAATCATTTCCGTGGCCCTGTAAGCCATTAGCAAGTAAGGCAATAAATCATCCCAATTATTTCTGAATTTATTGACAAACATGGACAACATTTTCTGTAAAGTTCTGTTGAAACGTTCAACAAGACCATCACTCTGTGGCCGATAGGGTGTTGTTCTAGTTTTATCGATTCCCAACTTATCACAAACTGCTTGAAATAGAATGGATTCAAATTCCCTGCCCTGATCACTGTGTATTTGTAGGGGCATTCCAAAGCGACAAAATATTTCAGAAACTAGGTTATCTGCTACTGTTAAAGCATTATGGTTCTTAACCGCAAAAGCCTCAGTCCATTTTGTAAAGTAGTCTTGTACTACAATTAAATACTCATTCTCATTTTCAGTAATGGGACATGGGCCTACAATGTCAACCCCAATCCTATCGAATGGACAACCCACTAAAGACTGTTGTAAAGGAAATCTACCTATACCTGGGCCAGGTTTAGCTTTAGCACAAACAATGCACTCACGAACCCATGAACTTATATCAGAAGTCATTCCAGGCCAATAAAACCTATTTTTAATTGCTCTAATTGTTCGATCTCTAGCTAAGTGACCAGATATTACTGAATTATGAAATTCTTTCATAATTTGATTCCTAATTTCTGCTGGGGCTACCAAAACAAGATTTTCATCATTATCCGTTTCAATCCTATAGTACAGTAAGCCATTTTCTATTGACAAAGACTCCCATACACTCCATAAATTTCTAATTCCGTATGAACAACCGGAAACTACTTCCTTGTCAGGTTTTTCATCAAACTCTCCTAACATATTTACAATTTTTGAAATATCAGGGTCATTATCCTGCCAAGAGACTTTCTCTTCACTTGTCCAAACTCTTAACCAATTCGAAATTTGGGGCAAATCAAATTCACCTTCGTTATCACTATCATCTTCAACATAGGGAATTGTTTCATCTAAATCACTATTTCCAGGCCTAATGGGTGCTAGAAGACATTTATCGGGGTTATCACAACTCTGACCTACTTGATTCTTATCACACGCAGGACAATCAGAGCGTTTACACAACCTATACGGTTTTCTGGACAAAACATCAGCATTCGTATGCTGAGTACCTTTTCGATATTCAATCTCATAATCATAGGTATCCAAGACAGAAATCCACCTAGCAACCATACCTTCTGGGTGTTTAAAATTCTTCAACCAAATTAAAGATGCATGATCTGTGCGAATCCTAAATTTTTGACCTAACAGGTAGTGGCGAAAATATTTGACAAAGGCAATTACCGCTAAAAGTTCCCCGTACGTAGTACAATATTTTTGTTGGGTATCACTCAACATTCGACTAGCATAAGCAATAACCTTTTCCTCACCATCCTGTACCTGTGAAAGGACAGCACCTATTGCATGACCACTAGCATCCGTATCCAGAATAAATTCACCATCCCCTATAGGGTAACTTAAAATGGGAGCAGAAATAAGTTTCTCTTTCAAAACTTCAAAAGCATTTTGACAATCTTGATCCCACAAAAATTTCAAGCCCTTTTTCGTCAAATTTGTCATTGGCGATGCTTTTTCTGAAAAACTAGGGATAAACCTCCTATAATACCCTGCCAAGCCGAGAAAACTGCGGACTTCATTTACATTTTTAGGGACTGGCCAATCACTAACACTTTCAATTTTTGCTGGGTCACAAGCTATTCCCTTATCACTAACTAAATGTCCTAAATATAACACCTGGTGTTGAAAAAGAAAGCATTTCTTAGGTTTAAGCTTAAGATTAGCCTTTCTAAATCTGTCAAAAACAAGGTCTAAATTCTCTAGAGCCTTCTCAAAAGTAGGGCCAAAAATAATGACATCATCTAGGTAACACATACACCTTTCCCACTGATAACCCTTTAGAACAATGTCCATCAACCTTTCAAAACAACTGGGCGCATTACACAACCCAAATGGCATCACTTTGAACTGAAATAACCCCTTGTGGCAAGAAAAGGCAGTTTTAGGCCTATCTTTTTCATCAAAAAGTACCTGCCAATAACCGGAAGCTAAATCGATAGTGCTAAACCACTTATTGTTCCCTAGGGAGTCAAGAGAAGAGTCTATACGGGGCAAGGGGTACGAATCCTTTAACGTATGTAAGTTCAAAACCCTGTAATCAATACAGAAGCGCCATGTTGAGTCTTTCTTTAAGCAAAGTGTGACTGGGGCACTCCAAGGACTACAACTTGGTTCAATTACATCATTTTGTAACATTTTCTCTAACTCTTGTTCAATTATTTCCCTTTGTTTAATGGGTACCCTCCTGGGAGGTATCTTAACAGGCTTTGTGTTCCCAGTATCTATTGTATGCCTGACAATATCTGTTTTTCCAAGTTTTCCGTCGGGACCCAAAAAAATATCCTGATATTTTATCACCAGTTTACTTAAATCCTGTTTTTGACTCTCAGTCATTTTTGAAGAAACCCTATCAATCAGACCTGTTAAATGTTCTGGAAGTTCATATAAATTGTTTAACTCATTTGCACTAACTGAATCAGAAATTGTTTTAACTGTTTGTATACTACCAAAAACTTTATTTCTTTTTAAAGTTACATCTCGATCCCTACAATTTATTGCAGAAATGGCAACCTTACGTTTAGTTGTATTTACTAAAGCAGTAGAAATCAAAATTCCATTTCTAATTAATCTTGCATTTGGTTCGACAAGCATGTCTTCTTCCTTAATGTTTTTAGGAACTTTAATTTGAAATACTGACTCAGTATTAGCTGGTAAAACAAGTCTATCTGAGAGTCTAATTAAGGCACAATGTTTATTTTGTTGCTTATGAAGCTTTATGGTACTATCATCTGGCTTGATCAATAAAGACTTAGAAATGTTTATTTGAGCTTCATTGGCTTCTAAAAAATCTATGCCTAATATTCCCTCAAGATCATCTAGTTCAGCTATGACAAAGTCATGTGTAAAAGGAATGCCTTGAATAAAGAACTCTAAGGTAACTTGTCCATGTACTTTTAACTCTTTGCCTCCTGCCGTAGTTAACGAAGTTAAAATATCTTGAACTTTCAGTTCATCAATGTTAAATTCATCAAGCTTTGCTTTAGAGACACAACTAACAACTGCGCCTGTGTCTAAAAGAAAACTACCCTTATTTAATCCTACTTCCACAGAAGCAAATAGACCATTTTGTTTAATAGGGTTTACTTTTATACTGGGCCTTATTTCTGTTCCGCAGCCTGGGTTTCTGACCCTGAACTCAGGCTTCCCTTGTTTAAATCTTGATTTGGATTGTTTTGTCTCTTATTTGACCTTGGAGCCTTACAATCTTTGCTAACATGTCCTACTTTTTGACAATTATAACAAGTTGGAACCCTACAATCCTTAACTACGTGACCTAACCTATTACATTTAGTACATTGTAGGGGAATAGTTTTATTTATCTCCTCAATTTTTTTGGATAACTGTTCAAAACAATTCATAATAGTTCGGGTAACTTCAGACAGATCTGACTGAGCTTTAACATTCTCAGTGTTTCCCTTATCATTCTTATCGGACCGTTTTACAGCTTGTATAGTAGCTGCATGTTCTTCAGTCTGTTCTTTTGGTTTACGGACTTCAGTTGACATAGAACCAACAAACGCTTCATACTCAATGGCTAATGCGATCGCGCTTTCTAAAGTAGTAGGATGTGAGAACTGGACGCGTTTCTCAACGTCAAAATTTCCTAATCCTCGTATAAATTGGTCAATGGCTAAGTCTTCATTTTTTTCCAAATCTGGATAGGCTAAACGTACAAGCCTTCGAAGAGCGTAACCGTAGTCTTGAATCGACTCGCTTTTTCTACGTATCCTACTATTAAACTCGCATCTATAAGCGGTTATTCTTTCCTTCGGAGCAAGACGTCTGCTCAACATATCTTTGAGTGAAGTATAATCTGCCAATACGTTTGACTTTGCATCTCCGAGTAACTTCTGTGCGGTGCCACGTAAACACATACACAATTGTTGTGCTTTCGACTCGTCATCCCAATCATTCCATTGAGCAGTTTGTTCAAAGTGAACTATATAGTCTTGCCAATCAACGCTTTTACCATCGAACTTATCCGGTTCTCTTTCTCTCCGTAATATACGCGGTTTAGGATGATTAAAGCTAACATGCCTCAGTGCAGGCGGCTGTACATTGGTTTGTACAAGATTTGTACTGGCCATATTACTTGGTACAGATTTAGGTGTAACTAATAATGGAGCTCGAGACGGCACGCTAGTCCCTACTGAAGAGGTTTTTCTGATTTGAGGGGTGACTTCACAGTTGTTTTGATCAACAAATCCATCACTCGGTACCTCGTTGGTTTGTCGGCTTATGTAATACAAGCCTTCGCGACTTTGGTATGAGGAAGACTCCTCATCACCATCGTATCTCGGACGGGACCTCTTAAAATCAGTTTCAGACGCTCTGGTCGATTCGGCTCTCTGTTCTTCATTTCCATAATTTATAGGACGTGGTAAACCCAAAGGGCTAATCAAAGACAGATCTGATCTGGAGTTGTGTTCCCTACTTTGTGAAATATCTACTCCTAAGTTTTCAATTTGAACTTGTAATTGACCTATCATTTGTTGACATTGGTCTCTAAATTCACTTATATTTGCCATTATATTCTTATATTTATAAATCCTATTTATAAAGTCTTAATAAGTTCTTTATTTAAACAAAATAATTAATTAATCACCAGTTTAAAGATGGGCCAAAATTTTTACAGCAGGATCCCACCGCTGCCACCAAAATGTAACCGGAGCTAGTTATCCTGTCTTGTTTTTTCATGTAATTTCTGAATTGTTTATTTGTAAATGTTGATGTCTTGTTTTAGTACGGTATGATTGTTCAAGGAGATCAACCTAAATAATATATTGGAAGATTCAAACCACCAAAAACCAAAAAGGAACAATCAGAATTATTGACAATGACTAAAACAACCAAAATAATATGAACGGTGTCATGTTAATGACTAAACCTTTAAAACAGGGTATATCTAAGCTCTAGGTTCTGTTGTAGTTCGATCCTGAGTCTTTGAATCCTCTTGGTAGCTTATTTAAATAAAGACAATCAAGTTCACATAGTTTAATGATGTTATAACGACAAATCTACATGTCAGAATTTAATATAAATATACATCAAATCAACACTTCACCTATAAAGCACAGTGTAATGAAAATTGGGCAACGTTATCTCCCCTTTTCTAAAATAATATTGAAAAACCTTAATTTCCTACTTACTTAACACTAGTTACCTAAACTTGTTTTATAAAATAAACAGGCTACTTAATTAAATTTGGGAAGGGAAAAACCAGACGTGGAAGCTTAACAGTTTGAAAAGTTTTGCCAAAGTTTTGTCTTACAACAAGCCAAAATTGAAAGTCGTAACTAATGCATCAGCCAAGTTGCTAATAGTCAAAGACTAACGCTGGCTAGTAGAAAACAGTCCTAATTTAATAGGCACCTACCTTAAGAGTCTGTTACAGACAAGTGGCTCTTGCATAAAAAGCAATGATATTAAGAATATGTGGGCCTTATATACTAATTAAGTTCTAATTATAGAAACTATATCTAAATTTATAAACCCAATAAGAAATATCAACACATAAGTTAAACCAATGAAATTTACTATTAAAAACTTGTTATGCCTCGATTTAGAAAAACACACAGAGAAAGATCTCCGAACGCACCCAATTGAAAAATCTAGAGAGATAATAATTTTCGGAACTCCTCTAATAAAAAGCATGGCTAAATTCAAGGAAAATATAACAGTTTGGGATTTAAAAGTTACTTAATGACAAACTTATAAGGTAACATCAATATTTAAAGTTCAAAGAACGTTTCCCAAGTGTAAATACTATATTTTTAATTTAACCAGGTTGAAAGTCCCATGACATTGCACAATTTACGTTTTAAAACAAGGCTACACGGCCACATAATGATGCCATATATATTGGATAGGGGGCAGATTTTCTGGAAAATGGTATGAAAATATGGGAAAACCTATGCATGTTTCCAAGTGGCTGTTCTGTTTCAATGATGTTTTTTAGTATTTTTCATACCATTTTCACCTCCAGTATGAAAATCTGCTCCCTATTCAATATGGGGTCATTAACCGTGAAGTCCTGTATTGCATGGAATAATATTGTAGCTGTTTTAAGTACATGTATGTACATAAATGCCAAAAATTAATTTGAATATATAAATAGTTTTTTTTATATACATGTATAATATATGTAATGTTTCTATATTTATTCTAGGAATGAAGAGCAAAAGGATATAGCAGTCCTTATATAAAATAGTTCAGGAATCCAGAGCTTTTTAGTTAAAAGTATTTCCTGGGAATTAACAGGAACTTCTATAAATGTTTTTCTGGAATAGTTATTCAAAAGGGCAGTGAAGTGAAGGATTACATTCGACAAATATTGCTGAAGTGGTAAAATCAGACCCAAGAGATGTACAAAATTTCTACAATACATGTTACAGAGCTCTGACTTTAGCTACTTAATCACATTGACATTTGTGTGCTTTAATGTTTTCTTTACATAATTACTACAGTTCTATTAAAATTAATATTTTTATTCTTTGTCACAATTATTACTAAAAAAAATACAGCATTTTAATATGGTTTTTCATAGTCTCACTTGCATTGTACTTAAATAAGTTGTCTGTAGATGTTTACACTAGGTTTTCAGGCATTTCACTTCACTTGATTGAAAAAGCATTTAAATTTTTTGTTAAATTATGGCCTGAAAAATACATTTAACATTTTACAGGAGTTTTCACAATCAGTGAATGGCTGTTTATCACAGTAGTACATGTACATTTCACGGTCTTTTCACAATGGGCACATAATTTATCACGACTTTTTCACGGTGTACATTTTTAGCTCACCTGACCTGAAAGGTCAAGTGAGCTTTTCTCATCACTTTGCGTCCGTCGTCCTGCGTCCGTCGTCCGTCGTCCGTAAACTTTTACAAAAATCTTCTCCTCTGAAACTACTGGGCCAAATGCACCCAAAATTAAACACAATCATCATTCAAGTATCTAGTTTAAAAAATGTGTCCGATGACCCCGCCAACCTACCAAGATGGTCGCCATTGCTAAAAATAGAACATAGGGGTAAAATGTAGATTTTGGCTTATATCTCTGAAACCAAAGCATTTAGAGCAAATCGTAAAATTGTTTATCAGGTCATGATCTATCTGCCCTGAAATTTTCAGATGAATCGGACAACCCTTTGTTGGGTTGCTGCCCCTGAATTGGTAATTTAAAGGAAATTTTGCCGTTTTTGGTTATTATCTTGAATATTATTATAGATAGAGATAAACTGTAAACAGCAATAATGTTCAGCAAAGTAAGATCTACAAATAAGTTAATTGACCAAAATGGTCAGTTGACCCCTTAAGGAGTTATTGCCCTTTATTGTCAATTTTTAACCATTTTTCGTAAATTTTTGTAATCTTTTACAAAAATCTTCTCCTCTGAAACTACTAAGACAAATTTAACCAAACTTGGCCACAATCATCATTCAAGTATGTAGTTTAAAAAATGTGTCGGATGACCCAGCCAACCAACCAAGATGGCCGCCATGGCTAAAAATAGAACATAGGGGTAAAATGTAGATTTTGGCTTATATCTCTGAAACCAAAGCATTTAGAGCAAATCTGATATGGGATAAAATTGTTCATTAGGTCAAGATCTATCTGCCCTGAAATTTTCAGACCAATCAGGCAACACGTTGTTGGGTTGCTGCCCCTGAATTGGTAATTTTAAGAAAATTTTGCAGCTTTTGGTTATTATCTTGAATATTATTATAGATAGAGATAAACTGTAAACAGCAATAATATTCAGCTAAGTAAGATCTACAAATAAGTCAACATGACGAAAATTGTCAATTGACCCCTTAAGGAGTTATTGCCTTTATATTCAATTTTATACAATTTTCATAAATTTGGTAAATTTTTGTAAATTTTTACAAAATACTTTCCACTGTAACTACTGGGCCAAGTTCATTATAGATAGAGATAATTGTAAGCAGCAAGAATGTTCAGTAAAGGAAGATCTACAAACACATCACCATCACCAAAACACAATTTTGTCATGAATCCATCTATGTCCTTTGTTTAATATGCACATAGACCAAGGTGAGCGACACAGGCTCTTTAGAGCCTCTAGTTGTTTTTCACAGGGTTTCTACGGTCTCTTTACCCAAGTTTTCATTGCCTTTTCACGACAAATAAAGGCATACAGTCAGGGATATAACTCTATAGGGTTATTACAGAAAATAACTTGCATGTGTTATTACAGATACTTTTATGAGTTGTCTACTCTTTAATCCTTAAATTTACTAAATCTGTAGTAACATATGTTTGTTATTTGTAAAATAAATCATAAATATTTTATTTTTAGTGGGCTCTAGGGAACTCTTGAAACTTTGCGCAGAAACTAAATGCATAGCCTTGATAACTAACTATTAATTTAGATTAATACATTTTTCATTAACCATGGTAAATCAATGAGACAGGGCTTTTAAGTGATTAACTTAGCTGTAATAACAAGGCTTAGTTATTAAAGGCATGTAACTTGGGAATTAC